TATCCATTTATTCTTTGCTCATATTGTGAATAATTAATTCCAGGAGGCAAGTGTGTACTTGGCATTTATTTACTATTCACTGGTAACACTATTTAAGCAGATACAAATGCACACTTAGAGGGAGGCATATTTTTTTTTTAAGTGAGGCCCTAAACAAAACAAGATACTACAGTTTACTACAAATGTGAACATTAAGGATTCTTTCACTCTTTACAACTGTTCTCTCCTGCTTTCTCTTTCTCTTTTAAATAGGCTTTCTGAACCACCATGCAGATGAATGAAATATCACCTAATTCCACTGGCACAAACCTGAGAAGTGAAGCAGGGGTTAGGGACATTGTAAGGACCTGGTGTCTGTTCCAGAGTCCACAGAGTGGGAACAAGAGGCAACCTCAGAATTGCCAGGCAGGGGATATTCCAGGGTCTACCAGCCCACTTCAGAGTTAGGCTGCCAAACAAACCTGGGGTAATGAGTTGGTCTTGCTGGCAAAAAGACTCAGATCTTTTGGGGCTGTAGCATAGGCAGTGAGATCTTGGGGTGAAGTGTGAGGGCTCAGCCAGAGAGTCAGGCAACACCTGAGAAGAACTTACTATCACACGTTCTGCGTTTAAGCACGAAACATGCACCACGCACTTCAGTGTGCTTTATGCGTGCGGTCACCCTAATGAGCAAATTGTGGATGTTCCCTTTCTCTTTCTCCTGGTTCTCGATTCAGTACCCTACCTTACCCCTTTTGACTCAAGTCTTGGCCATGAAATTCTCTTTGGTCAATAAACTTGAGTGAAATTGATGTATAATTTCTGGGGAGAAACCCTAAAAGGCATTACATGATTCATCACTTTCCCTTTAGCTGCCTTGACAGTCATAAAAACAAGTATAAAGATGGCATTTCCATCAGAAAAACCCTCGTCATAGAGGTTGTGTGCCCCCAAATTTTTATCTTGAAACCTATTTTCCAATGTGCCAGCATGTGGAGGTAGGACCTTTAGGAGGGAATAGGTCATGAGGTAGAATCCTCATCAACCACTGCATAGAGACCTTATATATAAATGATCCCAGAGAGCTCTGTCACCCCTTCTACCAAATAAGGATACAGAAAAAGACAGCTGTTTGTGATACAGGGAGTGGTCAGCACTGGAAAACAAGTATGCTCACACCCTGATCTTGCACTTTCCAGTCTCCAGAACTATCAGAAAAAAAGGAAGTTCATTGTCTATAAGCCACCCAGTCTATGGTATTATGGAATAGCAGCCCAAACTAACTAAGTCACCTGCCAACCTCCACAGACGAGAAGCATGAGGGAAAAGTACACTTTTTGGTGTTGTGCCCCTGACTTAAGGAGCTATGTTTCACTGCAGTATTGACATGAATGGTCTCCTTGAATCATCCCAGCAAATCCACAACTCTGTTAAAGAGAAATATGAATATACAACCCGGTGACTGAATACTTTGCCTAAGATTACAGAGTTAATAAGAGTTGAAATAAGAATCTAAACCTCTGTCTGTCTAACCAGTGTCACACATTCATAAATAATATCAGGAAACCTCTACAAACACAAATGACTTAACAACCAGGCAACAGAGCACAGTAGCCTCCGTAACCTCTGTCACTTTGTACGAAAGAGAAAGAAGTTCAAAAAGGGCTGATATCACCAAAGGACATCAGCCTAATGTTACACTGTCCTTTGGGAGAGTCAAACAATATTAAGTGGTTATTCTCAAAGTGACCCAGCTCCTGGGAAGGCTGACGGAGTGAGGTGGTTAGTGACCCCTGCTCCTCTTGCTTGCTAGACCACAATCCTCACTTTTACATTATACTCAAAGTAAATACAGCCTCTTCTAAAGAATAAAACTTGCAATATTTCTCAAACCCAGTGCAGTCTAAAATCATAAGTGTTATGAGGAAGAACATAAAGCCAAAGATTCTAAGGAACCACAAGCACTATTTGTAGCTGTTATAATAAGGCAATGTTCTATGTATGACCAGCAATTTTACCTTTTCCTGACATTTCCAAGTGGAATTCAAATTCCAGAATTCATCACAACTTTTCCAACTTTCTTACACCCTCTAATTATGACTTAGGAATGGAAGAATTCTCTCATATACATTTATTTTTTAATGTCTGTTCATCTTACATACTGAACAAAAATGATAGGAATCAAATTTAAAGATAGGTTGCAAGTATTCCAGTTCTTGACCAATCTATATTAATTTTCTCTTATCAAACCTAGGGATTAGTCTTGCAGTTTTTAAATTAGAGGAGAAAAAATATTCTCTCTTCTAACAAAGTGGGTGGAATATCTTCTTTGGCTATAGTTTACATATTACTGACTTTCAGAATAAGCAATGCCACTGAAGTCTGGTTAGAGTTCACATACTGTCACATTTCATTTCAGGGAATTCCGTTATTGCTAAATATGTGCGTCATTTGAAGTCATAGCTTATTTATGCCCTTAATACTAGATTGTTTTTTAAAGCAACAGCAAAATAATAGTAGGTTGCTTACATACATATGTTCACTACCATAATCACTCATTTCATGACCTAATAAAAACCATAGTTAATTCATTTGATTAGGAGATCAAGGGTTTTCTTTTTACTACCATATAACACCTTTTACTTTCATATAATACACTCATCCTAACTTCTGCAAGATCTAAATCAGAAAGTGTCATACATGTTCAGAATGTTGTCTATAATAAAGTCAACATTACATACTCATGCTTTGTATAACAATAATATACTAGAGATTATATTTGTTATGGGTTTTTAAGTTTCAAATATATAATTAGATACTAATATCAAGCTACCTAAAACACCATAGTGTTTATATCATAGTGGATTATAATCATGCAGAGCTTGAATTCAAAAATATATTTTTATGCCAATTTAATTCTCATAGCACTTTCGTAACTTAATAGTTATGAAATGTAAAGCACATGTAAAGTGCTTGTAAAAGAGCTTGTAAAAGAGCAAGATTATCTCCCCAAAATATTAGAAGCAAGGCCCCCTTGCTAGCTGAATACAAGGGTAGATGAGAACAACATAACACAACATACATGTCTTAAGAAAAGTAATTGAGAAAGTAAACATCAATGCTATGCTGATTTAAATAACAAATGAGGTAATTAATTGTTTTTAAATGATTGCAATACTCTCTTCAGGGGCATCTGAGCTAAAAAGGAAAACACAGATCTTCATATGATTTCAAACAACTAGATCTTCCTTTTCTTGGCCTCTACTGCGTGGAGGGTTGGGGCAGCAAAGCATCCTATACCCATCTAGAAAAGTGGCGTGAGGTTTCTGCTGGTCCACCCTGATATGACTTAATACTTTCAATGAAAAAACAAAAGTGATAAACCATTTAAGTACATGGTGTAAAACCTCTGTGATTCAAGAAAACAGCTATAGAAGGTTGCACTATTGATATTCAGCAAGAGAATAAAGGAAATAGATCAGCTAAAAGCACAAGCTACAAATGAACACACATTCACATTTGGAGTGAAAATAAAATCTAAGAGATATTCTAAAGCTGGACCATTCTAAAGTCAAAGAACATCGAGTCAAATTACATGAAGATGTAATTACATGAAGATGCCATCCCCCTGCCCCCTCCTGCCTTTTTCAAATAATAAAATCAAACCGTGTCCCTTAGCTAATTCTGAAGCTGGCATTTTTAAGTGGATACTATTGCCTTTCAAAGAACTTGTCATCCTAGAAATCTGCAGTTATTTCCATGGTCTTGAGGACCTGAGATACACTTGATATTAAGAAATGGTTTTCTACACACAGGAGAGCGAGTCTGATCCCCAACTTAAGGCTTTAAACTCCAGCTTTCAGTGACTTAATCAGGCCCTCAGAAAAAAGATACAGACGTTCATTCTTTTGGGATTGTAAGAGAAATAACCCTTTGCAAGCTTCCTCCTGGGGAGCTGGTTGTTGCTGCAAACCAAGAAGAGAAGCGCACAGGGGGCGGATGGGAATCACATCGGTGCAGCGGTAGGAGGAGTGAGTTCCAGAAGTTCTTCTTATCTTTTTATCATAATTGGAGATGTGACCCAAATACAAGGAAACCTCCACATTCCATTAACAGGCTCAATTTGGATTATGCAGTTCCTCGGGAGCAGCATCCTTTCCTTAGCTAGTTTTGCTGTACTTCTGAAATAATTCTTTGTTTCATTTTTACGCCTGGTTTAAAGAAATGCCGACGGTTCCGATTTTAAAGTGTGGATCCAGTAAAAGCCTTTTTAGGGGGACTTTTTTTCCCTCGAGAAGGGCGAGTCTTATGTACTCAGCTCCAGAGCCGCTAGCGAGTGGCATGAAACCCTCACTCTTCGGGAGGGGAGATCCTGGCTCGCCAGCCGCCACCCTCCAGGTCGCGGGTTCCTGGGAAGCGGGACGGTCTGCGCGCACCATGGCTTTTCCCGGTGCATCACGCACCTCCCGCCCTGGCGGGCTCAGGTAGAGGGTCGCCTACTGCTGATCCCAGCAGACATTCTGCAAAGAACTCAAGCCGCTCGCGAGTGGGCCCAGGCTGGGTCACTGGCGGCGGCAACTTCACGGATTCATTTATCTGTTAGTTTCTGAACAGAGTAAAATAACCCCAAAGACTTAAGCAAACGCCCCCTCTAAAGCTCATCACCCTGCAAAGTCGGGGTTCTTAGAGGCCACGCTTGTGGCAGTTTCACTTTTTGCTCAACCCTCATCGGCACCCCCAAGATCACATCGCAAATGAACCCCTACAGCAGTACCCCATAGGGGGTACGAGGAGTGATGGGGACCAAGCAGTGCCAGGAAAGGTACCCCACACTCACCCCTTAGCCCAGTCATTTATAAGAACATGGACGAGGTGACACCCCGGATCCCAGGGAGGACGCGGACACTCTTGGCGCCCCCGCAAGTGGCCCGACCGCCCGGCGCGCGCTCGGGCCACCCGGGCGGGAGGTGGGTGCGCGGGCGCAGGTGAGGGAGCGGGGCCCCGGCGCGGGCCGCACTTACGTGCTCCAGCTTGTCTTTCCTGCGGAGCCAGACGCTGGCGCTGTAGTCCTGCTGCTTGACGCTGCTGTAGAAGTTGGCGCCCGCTCGGGCCAGGCTGGGCGAGGGCTCCTTGGGGCGGCTTTTGAGCCTCATCTGCTCGAAGCCCTCGTGGGGGAGGCTGAGAGCCACTCGTGCTGCCGGATCTCCATCCTGACATGACCAGGCGGCGCGCGGCGGGCTGGGGCGGGCGCGGGGAGCAGGGCACAAAGGGACGGAGCCGCGGCTGGGGAGGACCGGCCCGGCGCGGGCGGCGCGGGAGGGCAGGAGCCGAGCGCCGGGGGGAGCGCGCAGCGGGGCGGGAGGCTGCGAGTGCGGGAGCGGAGCGGTCGGAGGAGGGAGGACGGTGTCAGGGAGGAGAGGGGGAGGGAGCAGGAGGAAGGGGCGGGGGCACAAGGGGGGCAGGGAGGGAGGGGAAGCGGCCCCCGGAGCCCCAAGTACCCGGTGAGGGCGGTGGTCGCGCCGTCGCCCGGGGACTGCAGTCCCGAGCCCGGCGCTGCCTTCGCCGGCTCCTCGCTGCACCGACTGGGACCCAGGCCGGCCCCGGGGCGGGATCGCCGGGGAGCGGCGGGGTGGGGGCCGGGTGGGAGGGGCCGCGGCTGGCCCCGCCGCGCGAGCCCGGGTTGGTGCAGTGAGGAGCCGCCTCCGTCCGCGGTCCGAGGCGCCCAGGCCCCGCGGCGGGCCCCGGCGGAGACCCGCCTCTCCTCAGCTGGGCTGCGCGTCTCCCGCTCCCATTTTTACTGGAAAGCCAACCGCAACTGGAGAAGCGAGCGTCGTCTTCACGCCTCCCTCCTCCTGCTGGCAGAGCGCGAAGAGGAACCTGGAGGGAGACGCTCGGGGACCTCTCCCACCCTCCCCCACGCCCGTCCAGCAGCGCCCCCCGACCTCGCCCCCCAACCCGGCCCCCCGACTCGCTCTGTCTGCACCTCCCCTTGTTCTGAAAGTTCAATAACTTCCCACCTCTGGAACCCATGTGCCCCACCCCTGGGACTGAGCGCACAGTGGGTGCAACAAACACCGGAGAAGGGCCCGAGGCGGTGCTGCCGCTGAGGAATCCTCCGCGGGCCGGCTTCCCGACCCGCCTGCCCTCTAGGCTCGGTGTCCACTTGGAACCAGAACCCCAGCGGCCCAATGTCACTGGTCCTGGGAGAGGGATTTCAGTGTCCTTTCTACAAATGCTTGACTAGACGCTGTCCACGGTCCATAAATGGCCCGAGCGCTGTGCAGGTGTTTCTCTGTCCCTAGACTCCCAGAGCCAGTTTTTACTCCCGCCAGGGTTTTTATATCTGCTTTCCCTTTCAGGTGCAGTCTTCAGAAAGGCATGATGACTTTTTTTTTTTTTTTGTAGAAATAATGTGGCATGTTAATAATTAAATCTTTAATCTCTTTATCTTTAGTTATCATTGGAGTCAGCATCTCAAAACATTTTTTTTTTTTTTTGCTTTTACCCAAAAGCTAAATAACAGCTAGTGTGAAGAGTTTATCAGGTCCACTTAAAAGCTTAAGAAGTATTTGAATGCTGGAGAAGGATACTGCTGACCTTAAAGCAAGTCACAGAAGATAAATGGGTCTCTCTCCCCAGTCCTGGACTGAACTGTTCCACAGACTGTCCAGCTTGGATAATGGTTGCAAAGAAAAGAAACTTGGGGTTGGGATGTGATAGTTTGTAAGGGCAAGGATTGCGAACTTGTAACGATTTTTAGCTTTTTTATATTAAAAGATCGTCCTGTTATAATAGTAGTTGAGATAAAATTTTATGGGCAGTCAATTTGGGGATGAAACAACCTAATACAAATAAAGCATACAATATTTTTTGTTATTCGACTTCATTTTTCATAGGAGCCGAATTGTGGAATAGGTACTCCAGCCTGCGGATTATCCTGAAGTCTCACAGTTAATCTGCAATACAAATGTTGTGTACCTATTTTCCAGCTGAGGAAACTGACAATCAGGCAGAAATTACAAAATGTCATTGTCTTATATCCCATTTTTTGCTATGAAAATTTAGCCTTCAGTGATTTTTATTATTTTAAATATAAACGCACTATTTAAATGACTACAAATATTTTACATCTTTTGTAATGTTGGTGTTAGAACAACCTGACTGCCCTTCTACAGAATCCTGTGTTTTGTTTAAAGATTATACTGTAGTTATTGTGATATATCTAAACCTTGACAAGTGATAGATATCCAATTCAGAGAAATAATGAAGCGTTCCACTGTGGTAGAGTGTAAACAAAAAGTCTGCATATCAAGTCAGGATCTCATATTGAATAGATTTTTTTTTTTTTAACTCTGCCTTTGTAGGGAAAAACACAGCAGTTGCTACTACCTTCATTTTTTTTTTTTTGAAAGAAGTATACTGCTAGTGTATATGTTACAGGCAAATGACTAAACTGAACATTATAATTAATTTATAGATAATGCTTGCTATCATCAAAAATATTAGGTAACACATAAATTTTTACTATTTCATATTTGATCTATTTAGAATATAGTGACAAACATTAAAATTAACTCAACATTAAAATAAATGTGTTTCATAGTCACATTTTTTCTCTAGCTTGAATAATTGTCAAGTTCATTGTTTATGACAATAAGATGGAACTTGCTTATTGGCTTTCAGATGAACATTCCATATGGAACTGAACTGAATTCAAATTGTGTATAAAAGAAAAATACTATTTTGAAGATGACAAATTTGTGAATCTTGCACCAAAAAATCCTTGAAATATATAAATATTGCTGAATTTATACATTTACTCCCATAGCGCATTTTTCTGTACATTTTCATAACCATTACATTTTCTAAATGCAATGTAGATGTAATCCTTCATCCGTCCTAGGACACATTGGTTTCTTGGTGAATGGACTCATTCCTAATCTTTTGCTATGCTGACACCTCACAACACATGTTTGCTTCTTTGTCCTCAAGAGCATTGAATTTGACATTAAAATATCGTATTTTTAATACCAGCTACTTTAATTGCTATGTTGTGACTTTCTTAGTTTTATTTGATTTCAACAGACTTCAAGTTCATTTAATAAGTGGAGACTAATCATTGCTACTTGAAATTATTGCTGTAAGGATAAAATGATACAATACATGAGAAAACACTGTGTAAACTATAGAATGCTATATTATTGCTCTAAGAATATTGAGGCACAGGAATATTCTTCAAATCATTCTAATGATAAGTTATCACTTTCATCGGCATTTATATCACTTAATTAATCTTGATTGCTTGTAATTAATTATAGAAACTGCACTCAGCCACAAATTCGCATCTCATTAATGTTTATATTTATTCTAGAAATATTTTTACATAAGCCATTATTGCTGTTTCACACATTATTTTCAAAATAATAAAATTATTAAATATATGAAACACTACTGATTTCAAATACTATTGACCAGGAATGAGCAATGTCTGAATTAGGCAATTTATATGTGTATAAAACCTAAGTCTAGAGTCAACTAAAGGAATCAAGAAGTGGCTGGGAGTATTTTATTAAGACTTTCATCATCATCAACAACAATCATTATTATCATGCTTTACATTTCCATAATATTGACATTTCTAGCATGTTTTCATGCACTTTGTTTTTTGTTTGTTTTTTTTTTTTTGAGATTTATTTATTTATGCATACAAGAACTGGGATATGGGCCAAAGTTGTGGGGGGTGAGTGGATTCACCAGAGACAGAATGGGGAACAAGAGGCAGACTGACTGAAACACACTGCTGAGGAGAGCAGTGGGCTAGGCAGGAGAGGTCTGCTGCCATGTGGGTAGCTCCCTGGCCATAGGGGATCGAACTCATGCTGCCGAGGCTGTGGATAGCTTCATAGTGCTGTGCTTAACCCCCTGGGCCACCAGGGAGGCCCTGTTTCCATGCACTTTGAAACATTTCCTTTATGAAAAATTTATCTGAAAGTCATCTTTGTAGGGTCTGCCATTGTTTGAAATGAAGAAAATGAAGCTCACAGGATTACATGATCTGCCCAAAGCCAAGCGTCTAATGAGTCACAGAATCTGCTCTACAGCAGGTTTATTGACTCTAAACAAACATTGATTTTTTTCACTCTCAGATCAAAAATCTCAAATGAACACTTCTTACATGTTTTATATTTAATCGTACTTTTACCAAGAATTACCAGGTTTTGTTAACATTTATTACTGATGAATAAAACATTACAATACTTTCACTGTCCTTGGTAGTGTGCATTCTGTCCTGTCTAATTACCCTTACACTATACTAGACCAAACTTAAGCATTGACCCAAGAAATTACTCTATTCTTCGGTGTCAAAAAATACATACAATAGCCTAAGACAGCAGTACTTTTGATTGTTTGTTTTTCTAAATGACAGTGGCTGCAGATAGCTTCATAAGTTGCATCTTAACCCCTTGCACCACCAGGGAGGCCCCTAAATCATAATCTTTTAGAAGAAAAATTAGAGACATGTAAACAGATTTCTCACATATCCCAGCTCCCACAGATAGATAATGTCCTCATTATCAACATCACTTGGCAGAGCAGTGCATTTGCTGCAACTGATGAATATAATAATGATGCATCGTAATCTCTCCAAAGTCCATTAGGGCTCACTCTTGATGCTCTGCCTCTATGGGTTTGGGTGATGCCATGTATGCATCGTAGTGTTATCAGACAGAATATCTTCACTGTCCTAACATTTCCAAATTGGTTTCTCTCACCTAGTAACATGCATTTAAATTTTCTCCTTGTCCTTTCATGATTTGATAGTTCACTTTTTTAACATTGCAAAACATTTCATTATCTGGATATACCACAGTTTCTTTATCCATTCACTTATTGCAGGGTATCTTGGTTGTGTCCAGCTTGGGCAATTATACTATAAAAATCAATGTGCAGGTTTTTATATAAACATAAATTTTCAGATCCTTCAGGAATATATCAAGGAACATCTTTTAGAGATACATGTTAATTATAACATTTCATTTCTGTAGAAAATATGAATATAATAAGCTGGAGCACAATTAAAACATTTTGAACAAACATTAGAATAAAATTAAAATAGTCCTATATTTAAAATGTGTCCTGAGAGGATATACAACCATGAATATAGGACATTGCTGAGCATGTTCTCTTAAGTTACTATATTTTCTTTAGCCATGTAGTTATTATTGATTAGT